AACCCTGAGGTTTCCCATCCTTTAAAATAAAAAGAAGAAATAAAAGGCATCCAGAGATAAACTATCTCTATTTGCCAATGACATGATCTTGTACATAGAAAATTCAAACTATGTAACTACTAGCGCTAATAAATGAGTTTGGCAAAGTTGCAGGATAAAAGATAATAAAAACTACAAAAATAAAACAATTCCATTTATAACAGCAACAAAAGAATAAAATACTTGTTGGGCATGGTGGCTCACCTCTGTAATCCCAGTACTTTGGGAGGCTGAGGCAGGTGGATGACTTGAGATCAGGAGTTTGAGACCAACCTGGGCAATATGGTAAAACCTCATCTCTACCAAAAATTCAAAAAAAAAAAAAAAGCCAGTTGTGGTTGCAAGTATTGGGAGACTGAGGTGGGAGGATCAGCTTTAGCCTGGGAGGTGGAGGTTACAGTGAGCTGAGATTGTGCCAACACACTCTAACCTGAGTGACAAAGTGAAACTCTGTCTCAGAAAAAAGAATACTCAGAAATAAATTTAACAAAAGAACTGCAAGATTTGTACACAGAAAACTACAAAACATTATTGAAAGAAATTAGAAAGGTACACCTTCACCCATAATTTACTGTTAATCGATTTTCTATATGTTTGCCAAGACCATTCGATGTGGAAAGAATAGTCTTTTCAATAGTGATGGGGAAACTGAATAACTGCATACAAAAGAATGAAGTTGGACCTCTACTTCACACTATACAAAAATCAACTCAAAATGAACCAGAGACCAAAATGTAGAAGCAAAATTATAAAACTCTTAGAAGAAAACTGAGGTGTAAATCTTTGTGATGTTGGATTACGCAATGGCTTCTTGGATATAATACAAAACGTTACAAAAGAAAAAATATAGGAAAAAAGGTACTGATTTATAGACTTGATCATTATCACAAAATGGCATTTTCTAAAGTTTTATCCATTTATACTTTAACAAAAATGTATCAGTATATTTTTACCCCATACTGTCACCATCAGAATCTACTGATAAACTTTTTGATCTTTTGGCAACGTAATGTTTAAAATGTATTAATTGTTCTAATTTGCTTTTACGTTATTACTTACCTTTTTCTACTTTTTCACCTTAAAAAATTATGTTGAGATATTCACATACCACAAAATCTACCTTTTTAAAGTATGCAATTCAGTAGTTTCTAGTTTATTCACAGAGTTGTGCCATCATTATTACTTTCTAACTCCAGAACATCCTTATCAACCCATAAACAAACCCTACTATTAGTAGTCACTCCCCATTCTGCCCTACACCTGACACCTGACAACTGTTAATCTACTTTCAGTAACTATGTATTTGTCTATTCTGGATCTCTGATATAAATAAAATTATGCAACAAGTGGACTTTTGTGTCTGGCTTCTTTCACTTATCGTAATGTTTTCAAGGTTCATCCATGTTGTGGCATACATCAGTAATTCATTCCTTTCTATTGCCAAATAATATTCCATTGTCTGGATATACTACAAACTGTGTACCTGCTCATCAGTTGATATGTATTTGGTTTGTATCCACTATTTAGCTATTATGAATAATGCTGATAAGAACATCATTACAAGTTCTGTACAGACATGTTTTCATTTCTCTTGAGTATATACCTAGGAATGAAATCACTGAGTCATACAATAACTCTATGTTTAACCTGTCAAGGGACTGCCAGGATCTCATCTCAGTTCATTGCAATCTCCGCCTCCTGGGTTCAAGCTATTCTTATGCCTCGGCCCTCTAAGTAGATAAGATTACAGTTGTGCACCACCATACCTGGCTAATTTTTGTGTTTTTAGTAGAGACAGGATTTTGCCATGTTGATCAGGCTGGTTTTGAACTCCTGGCCTCAAGTCATCCGCCTGCCTGGCCTCCCAAATTGCTGGGATTACAGGTGTGAGTCACCGTGCCCAGCCAAATTAACACAGTTTCTAAGCAATTCCATTTATATGAATATATTCTGATTATGTCTAGTTGTCCCTCCAAAACTACAGGTTATGCATCTGTGGATTCAATCAACTGCTGACAAAAAATATTTGGGGAAAAAGGAAAAACAATTTTAAAAACTTCTATAAAAAATAATACAAATCTAAAAGTATAGCATGTAACAACTATTTACATTCTATTAGGTGTAATTCTAGAGATGACAAAGTATATGGGAAGGCATGCACAGGTTACATGCAAATACTATGTCATTTTACATATAAGAGACGTTAGCATCCGCAGGGCCCCCAGAACCAATCTCCCATGGGATGACTGAGACTGCACTTTCACATACACACAAGAATATCTACAAAAATTATGACTAGGGCATTGATTTTAAAGGGTAAAAGTTTGGAAACTACACTTAGATGGGCCTACACATGCATAATGTTCATACAAGGAGGTAAAGTTAGTAACACTTTTAGCTTTAGGTAAGGGGAACTCAAAGATTGAGAGCAAGGGTGGAAGAATGATTTACTCTTCACTGGATGTCTCTTTGTATCTCTGAATTTTGTATAATGTATATGCATTAGTTTTTCAATTAATTAATTCTGGAATGTGTGACAACTGCAGCCAGAAAAAAATGTGTTTTAAGGTGGCAGATACAGTTTTTCTTATTCATATTCATCAATACACAGCAAATAATAAGTGATCAGGGAATTAACAAATGGATAAAAAATATTTAAAAAACATTCTAGAACATATTTTAAATTTTGGAATGAAATTCCTCAGTCTCCTAAAAGTTTAAAGTTGTTTTACCCAAACAAAACATATTGTTTTTGCCTACGTGCGTGCTCCAAGGGTCACATAGAATAGTTGCTACTTGCTATGCAGTTTGGATGTTTGTCACTCAAACCTCATGTTAAAATGTAGGGTCTCATGGGAGATGTTTGGGTCATGGGAGTGGATCCTTCAATGAATGGCTTGGTATGGTCCTTATGGTAATGAGTGAGTGCTCACTCTATTACTTCCTATGAGAGCTGATAAAAACAATCCGGCACCTTCCCCTTCTCTCTTGCTTTCTCTTTTACCATGTGATCCTGAAGATGCTGGCTCCCCTTTGCCTTCTGCCATGTAGCCTGAGGCTTCTATCAGAGGCCCAACCTTCCAGCCAGCAGAATCATCAGTCAAATAAACTACTTTTTAAAAAAGATAAAATAAATTACTCAGCCTTAGGTATTCCTTTACATCAATACTAAAGGGATAAAAATACCAAACATTCGTAGTGTTCTTTTAAATATGATAAAGTACCACCCTTTGACAAACCTTGCTTGAGAAACTGGAATTTAACTTATTTTCTTATGTACAGAAAAGGGTTACTTAACACACTGGGTCTGAGGCTGCTCTCTCTAAAAAGGCTTGCTTTCAAGACTGAGTCTTAGCTGATGTCTTGGGAAATTGGATCTCATGATTTCCCAACTGATAGGGTGGTTTAATGTGCCTAAACTTTATGTTAGAGATAATACATATTATGCTGAACATCTGCTTTTCTTTTGTGAGTATGGAAATTTGGCAAGTACTAGACAGAGGACGTCTATGGGATCAACTGACAATAAAATATCTGATTGCTGAGCTTGATTCTGGGCTCTCCTGGGCAGAAACACGCAGAAAATGTTGTTTGCTGCATTTTCACTGCTGCGGGACAAAATGCTATGTGTGACCCCTCATGGGAGGAAGGAAGTGTAAGGAAGTCTATATATGGCTTCTTCTAGACATACAGCCCTATGATCTGATTACAGATCCTTACTCACTTTACTGTATAGCTGTAATAAGTTTTAGCTATGAGTAAACTATATGCTCGGTCTTGTGAGTCCTTCTAGCGAAACTTCAATAACAGGGGTGGTCTTTTAAGATCTCCAACATACCTTGCTTAGCACGGAAAATATTTTTTCAAGAATATGTCACACAAAATTGAAATTATACAACTTTAAGTTTCTTGGTTGGTATGCTAATTTTGCTTTCAATTTGATATTTCCTCTAAAATGCATATGAATTTATTTTCTTTTGAGATTATCATTTTCTCCATTAGTTCTTATTCAAGGATGTTAAAATAAAAACATTTAATCATTGACTATGCCCCTATACAAGACATATCTAAACAAAAAGAACAAGTGAGGAAGAACGAAAATCATATGTGAAGAAAATACTAGCAAAATTCTGCTTGACTAAATATTCTACATCAGTGTGAAAGATAATGCTGAATGAAATAAAGACTCTGAGAAAAAGTGTAGAACAGCTTTTCTGGTTGGATATTAAGTCTTATTATTTGAATATTTTCAAAAATCCCCAAATATCTGATACACCCATATTTATATAAATACAAACAGAATAAAAAGCCAAATAAAATATTTGAAAGTACTGACAGAAGATCAGTTACAGTTCAAAAAGGGGAGAAATAATTTTTAAAGCCTGTAAAATTATGTGCCATTTGATTAAAAAGCAACAACAATAATACACAGGTACTATTTCTGTATCTCCAAAGATATTTTCCTTTGGGGTGAAAAATGTTAGATCAATGCTTGTTCTGGCCATTGATCTTTCAGGGAAATAGGGTTTTTTAACAAATGAAGTTTAGAGAGATGCACTAATCAATTAAAAATTACAAAGTTATAACTAATTATTTTAATATACGAATTTGGTTACTAAAAATCTAGCCATTTGATTAGACTTCTAAAATAATTGGAATATATAGTGCTATGTAAGTGACAGTATAGTGCCAATGGCCAGAGACAACCTTTTGTAAAAGTTAGCTATCAAAATTTCAAAATTAAACTATAAATTTCTATTTCAAAATTTGTTTTACATAAGAAAAAAAAAAACACAAAACCACCAAAGAAGGACCATACTACAATAAAGCTATAGTATATAGTGAAAGAGCATATTAAGTAAAATGTATTAGAGAAAATAATGCCATGACATTTGTATTTGTATCAAAAACTGAACAGGAAAGGCAGAATTATTTGAATGTGGGGAGGAAAGGAAACTTACATAAGTCGGTGTTTCCAAGCTATCTGTGTTGACCAGTACTGGAGGAGGATTTGCCTTTGAAGAAAAAAAAAATTATAAATGTGTTAAGAAGAAAATAAAAACATTACATATTAATGTTCACAAATGTTAGCGGTGTTATGAAAAACTTGTTATTTCTTAAGTTATAATCTTATATGAGCTTTTTATATGTTAAAACAATATATCCTTATTCCAGCACCAAACAGAAAAAAATAAATGTTTCAGCAGTTAAACTAGATTTGCTTTTAAGAAATAAATTGCTATTTCTGCTAAAACAGCCATGACTTTCTTAAGTTTTACACAGGAGATCACCACAGCCTTCTCATAAAATCCATGAATATTCTTTAGTGTATGATCAACTCTTCCTAGGTTGCTTAGAAATCACTGTTTTCTATTCCCAAGGATACCATTAAGATTCCAATCATTTGATCACCCAGGAAAAAAAATTATTCCCAAAAATGAACTGTTCTTAAACAAGGAAAAAAAAAAAAAAAAAGCCCATCACAGAAAGGAACTGTAAACTTTCAGAAAACTAAAAATATACTCAATGTAAAAACCCCTGATTATTTTCAGCTGCAATGATCGCTTTTACCACTGTTATTCTAGACCCTCACAGAATTAACAGTGATTTATTACAGCAAGAAAAACAAGCAGAATTATGCACACCTAGTTAAGTTTGGATTGAAAAAATCTTGGTTTTCTGGTTAGGTTAGAAATTATTATGTATATGAAACTAAAGAATAAAATGCAATTAATACCAAATGAAAAATATATTTAAAAACTGATGTAATTCCCCTTAAAATTATTTCCTGTGCATATTTAAAGTTATAAAAGTACCAAGTCCAGTAAGTTTCAGAGAATAAAAAAGATGACTACCCTTTAAACAAACTTTAGAAGATATGCTTATAAACATTAATAGTTCTACTTCAATTAACTAAAGAATTATACACAAAAGCTGTATGAAAGAACATTATAACACAAAATAACCATTTTCTTCCAAATGTATACGCTTTCAATAAAGGTGAATATTCAAAGTTCAATTGACACATTATTTTCAGCACAGTACTACATCTGGATGCTATGATAAAATGCTTAAAGACAACCTAGTTTCATGGCTAAAAAATTATACAGTATGAAGCCAGGTGCGGGGTGGGTCACACCTGCAATCCCAGCACTTTGGGAGGCCAAGGTGGGCAGATCACCTGAGGTCGGGAGTTCGAGACCGGCCTGACCAACACGGAGAAACCCCGTCTCCACTAATAATACAGTAGTAGCTGGGCATGGTGGTGTGCGCCTGTAGTCCCAGCTACACAGGAGGCTGAGGCAGGAGAATCGCACCACTGTACTCCAGCCTGGGTGACAAGAGTGAAACTCTGTCTCAAAAAAAACAACAAAAATTATAGAGCATGCATTTGGGCTACATAAAGCAGTAAGTTAAAAATGAGTAGCTAGTATTTTGTTGAGTCCCACCATTGAGTAAGTCTACCCTTGAATATTCCATGAAAGCCCACTTAATAAATAAAAATTATAAGATTGCTATTCGAGCAAAGTTACTAAACTTACAGACATTTGAGATTTTATAAATATTTCAAATTACTTATTTCCCAATAGCATATTGAGATTACCCACACTGATAATGTTTTACTTTGTGAAAAAAATTAATAATACAATTTCACTTTATTCTGCTTAAGCTATTACATAAGAAGAGGGCAAGAAAGAACTGGATATTTAAAGTTATGAAAGAAATTACGTTTTAAAAATACGACGGCAAGAAGCCTTTTAGCCCCTCTGCCAAATTTTTTAACGAACATGCAATGGAAAAAGTTGGTTTTTATGAAAATCTAATTTATACCATAATTATTATAATGTTAACTGCTTATCAGTACCAAACTCATCATTATTGTATAGCATTACCTTTTGATTCTATGCATTTAGAAAATGTTGCTAATATTGAAATATATATAAACAGAATGACATAGGTGTTATATTGACTTCAAAATAAAACAATGGCAAGTTGGGAGTAGGAGGGGCTGTGGATCAAATAAAAGTACAGGAGTTGACTGCTGTAGCTGGTGATGCATATACGTAGAGTTCGTTGTACTAGCCTTTCTAGATTTTAGTATTTTTGAAATTTTGCATCATAAAAAGTAAACCAAAAAATCATTTTGAGCCAAGTACTCAGTTTTAAAGAGGTGAATAAAGTTGTGAAATACTCTGGCTCTGGGTTGCTATTAAGATATTGGCATTCAGGCTGGGTGCAGTGGCTCATGCTTGTAATCCTAGCACTTTGGAAGGCAAAGGCCGGTGGATCACTTGAAACCAGGAGTTCAAGACCAGAATGGCCAACATGGGTAAGCAAAATTATGTTTCTTAAGTCTTATTACTGATGGCTTGGGGCAAATTACTTACGGGCTTTTTAGCTCCTCCTTCTGGAATATCCTTGCCCTTTTACTGCTTCTACCCCTAATCTATTAAGTGAACTACAGGATTTCATTATTGTCCAAGTTGCAAATATACATAATGGTATATAAATTTAGTAACAGAATAAGCATTTCTATAGCTTCTATGGTTTGCAATACATTTTCTTCTATATTACTTTTCTAGAGCCTCACACAGTCCTCTTGGGTAAAGGCAGGTGTTGCTATTTTTTTACAAATGGAGAAAATGAATTTCAACAATAAATGTGATTTTCCTATACTCAAATGTCACTGAGTGGTAGAGGGAAGTATAGAGAGACCTAGAACAAGATCTGAGATTACAGAAAGGTTTTTCTTTAATTGAAATAATTTCACATAGACTCTTTGCAAGTCTTTTAGTTGTTGCTGTCTGATTTTCCATGTTACCTGTTCTACTACCCACTGTACTGGTTAAGAATCCCAAAGTCTTTTTTTTTTTTTTAAGATGGAGTCTTGCTCTGTCTTCCAGGGTAGAATTTTTTAAAAGTCAAGTTTATTGGCTGGACATGTGGCTCACCCAAATTTTACCATTCTATTTCATTACAAAGGATCTAGTAGCGATTGCTGCTGTAACAAACTGAAGCAGCTTACGAAGTTTCAGAAGGCAATATTACGTTTTTTAAAATTGTGTTAAAATAAATTCTAAGATCCCATAATTTAAAAATAGATGAAAATAGTTTAGAAAATGCACTTTTACAATGTGCATTTTATTTCTCCTTCTCAGCATTTACCTAAGTTTCACTATGTTATTTGCTAATGTCTCTTTCTCCTCTACTCAGTTATAAACAAGTGCTTTTCCAATGCAGAACTCACAAACTCTAGAGAATACTTCTTAGATTCTGAGACACACTGCATTAAAAGTTAAATGCTATGACTGAGGTGATCACTGTAGGTTAAAGTGACTGTAAAAAAGAGGATGGATTCTGGCAAGATGGCAGAGTAGGCAGCACCACAAATTCATCTCTCCACCTAGAAAACAATTTTAGTGGCAGCATCCGTCTGATGTAAATATTTTGAAACTCTGGAGTCTATTAAAGGCTTGCAACTTCCACGTGAAGGCTTGAACAGTAAATTGTAGTTAATTTCATTCACTTGCAGCTTTAGCACAGTAGCAACTCCCCATACCCTATCCCTCAGTCAACTGTGTAATGCTTGCATGAGCCAGGGTGGGCAAAGAAAATCACGCTCTCCAAATATTGGAGATCTGTGCTCTACCTGCTGCTTCTAATCACAAAGGTGCAAACAGGGTGCAGATACTGCTGTTGCATCTCCTCCTCATTGTTGCAAACCCCACACCATCCTCTCAGGCTGAACTGACTTCCAGGTCAAAGAGCTGGAGGCCTCCCCTACCTACACACCAATTCAATTTTCTTTTTCCTGTTTTGCGGGGCCAGGCTTTGAAGACTAGGACATTAAAAACCAACCACACATTTGGAGGAAATTAGAAAGTCACTGTGCATGCACAGGGGACAGCACAGGCTCAGAAAATATCGAAGAAGACCGTAAGTTTACACCTTAGGCTGATCTTTGACAGCCTGCAACAATCCGAAAAACAAAAACACAAAAAAAGAAAACCCCGGAGAAGAACAAGAACCTGATTTTCAGAGATACCCCATTATTAAATTCAAACATACTGTTTTCAGGGGGAAAAAAATCACAAGGCATACAAAGAAACAAGAATAAACGGTTTATTCAAAGGAGAAGTATAAATCAACAGAAACTGTCCCTTAAAAAAAAAAAAACACCTGATACCAAATCTACTAGACAAAGACTTCCTTAAAGAATTAAAAGATATGGACAAAGTCAAGAAAATGCTGTATGAACAAAATGTAAATATCAATAAAGAGAAATAAAAATTTAAAACAATTCAGGAACTGAGAAGTACAGTAACTGAAAATTCACTGGAGGGATTCAAAAGCATATTTGAGCAGGTAAGAAAAAAAACAGTGAACATAAAGATAGGATAATGGAAAGTACTGAGTCTGAAGAAAAGAAAAAAAAAAAAGATTTAAGAAAAGTGAACAGAACCTAAGGGACCTGTGAGACATCACCAAGCAGACCAACTAATGCCCTGTGGAAGCTGCATGAGAAGTGAGAGATAAAAGAGTAGACAAAATATTTGAAGAAGTAATAGCTAAAACTTCTTAGATTTCATGAAAAAACATGAATATAAACATTCAAGAAGTTCAATAAACAAGTAATGAAATCAAACAGACTCACACTGAGACACATTATAATGGAACTGTCAAAGGCCAAAAACAAAGGTAGATTTTTGAAAGCAACAAAAGAAGTGACTTGTTACATACAACAGATCCTAAATATGATTATCAGCAGACTTCATATCAGATACTCTAGAGGCCATAAGGCAGTGGATAGAAGTATTCAAAGTGATAAAATAAGAGGAGAGCAAAAAAAAAAAAAAAGAAAAAACCTGTCAACTAAGAATCCTATATCCAGCAAGACAGTCCCTCAAAAGTAAGAGAGAAATTAAGATGTTCCCTGATGAACAAAAGCTGAGGGAGTTTGTTCAATCACTAGAAGTAGCATTTCAGGTTGAAATGAAACTAGACAGTAACTCAA